ATAATCTTTGTTTATATTGTGAATGGTCATGTGCAGCATAATAAAGTACATATACAAATCATATTTAACAGTAAATAAGTGAAGTGTATCCAATAAAATAAGGAAAAAAGGTGTATGTGCTATCATCAAAATTATTAAACATTGCTTAAAAACACAGAGAAATAACACATAAAACTATCAGAAATGAAGAGATAAAATTGTTATTGTCTGCAGACACTAGATCTACAAAAGAATAAATGTTCTGGGTTACTTAACCCCAAAGGTGATGGTATTAAGAAGTGGGCCTTTGTGAGGTCATGATAGAACTCATAAATTAAAATAGAGCATTTACAGAAAAGTCCTCAGAGAGTTCCTTTGACACTTTTACTAGGTGACAATACAGGGAAAAGACACCTTCTATGAACTGTGAAGAGGGCCCTCTATAGACACTGAATTTGCCAACACCTTGAACTTAAACACCTGGCCTCCAGAACTGTCAGAAATAAATTTCTATGGTTTATAAGCTACTCGGTTTATGATACTTTGTTGTAGCAGCCCAAAGGGACTAAGGCAAATACCATTTACAAAAGCATCAAAAAGAATAAAATACTTTAGGAATAAAGTTAACCAAGAAGGTGAAAGATTTGTACCCTGAAAACTACAAAACATTGCTGAAAGAAATGAAAGGAGACGCAAATAAATGGAAAGATATCCCATGTTCATGCACTGGAAGGTTTAATATTGTTAACATGTCAATACCGCAAAGTAAGCTACATATTCAATGCAATCCTTTTCAAAATCCTACAGCATTTTTGCAGAAACAGAAAAAACAATCCTAAAATTCATATGGAAACCATAAAGAATCCCAAATAGCTGAAAAAATCTTGAGAAAGCAAAAAGCTGAGGGCTTCATACTTCCTGACTTCAAAATGCATTCTAAAGCTTCAGTAATTAAAACAGTTTGGTACTGGCATAAAGACATATAGACTAATGGAACAGAACAGAGAGCCCAGGTAATAAAACCATATATATATGGTCAAATGATCTTTGACAAGAGTGCCATGACTAACACAATGTGGAAATATATTGGTGCTGGGAAAACTGGGTATCAACATGCAAAAGAATAAAAGTGGAGCCTTATTTTACACACACAAAACGAACTCAAAATGGATCGAAGAATAAATATAAGACATGAAATTACAAACTCCTAGGAAAAAACCACAGGAGAAAAGTTTCATAACTTGGTCCTTAGAAATGATTTCTTGATGCTGACAAAAGCAGTAAGAGATGAGTAGAACTATATCAAAATAAAAAGCTTCTGCACAGCAAACAACAGAACAAAACAGCAAACAACAGAACAAAACAGCAAACTACAGAATGAGAGAATGTATTTCCAAACCATATGTCTGATAAGGACTTAATATTCAAAATGTATAAGGAACTCCTACAACTCAATAGCGAAAACAAAAAACAGAAACACAAGTAAAAACTTGGCAAAAGACTTGAATAGACATTTCTTCAAAGAAGACATACAAATGATACACAGGTATTCGAAAAATGCTTAGCATTATGAATTATCAGGGAAGTTCAAATCAAAACCACGATGAAATATCACCTTACACCTGCTAGGATGGCTGTTATTTTTAAAAACCAACAACATAAAAAATAAATAAGTATCAGCAAAGATGTGGAGAAATTAAAACCTTGTACACCATTGTTGGGAATGTAAAATAACGTAGATGCTATAGAAAACAGTATGGAGATTCTTCAAAAAATTAAAAGTAGAACTACCATATGAACCAGCAATCACATTTCTGGATATTTATTCGAACAAAGTTAAATGAGGAACTTAAATAAATATCCGCCCTCTCATACTCATTGTTGCATTATTCACAATAGACAAGAGGTGGAAGCAACCTAAATATCCATCAGCAGATGAATGAATAAAGAAAACGTATTGGCCAGGAGTGTGGCTCATGCCTGTAATTCCAGCCGAGGGAGGAGGACTGCTTGAGGCCGGGAGTTCCAGACAAGCCCTGGCAACATAGAGAAACCTTGTCTCTACAGAAAAAAAAAAAAAAAAAATTTTTTAAATTAGTTGCATGTGCAGCTGTAATCTCAGCTACTGGGGAGGCTAAGCTGGGAGGATCCCTTGGCCCCAAGTTCCAGGCTGCAGTAAGCCATGATCACACCACTGCACTCCAGCCTGGGTGACAGAGCAAGACCCTGTCTCAAGAGAAGAAAGAAGGCAAATGTGTTACATACATACAATGGAATATTATTCAGCCTTAAAAAAGAAGAAAATCCTCTACTATGCTGCAACATGGATTAACTCTGAAGACATTATACTAAGTGAAATAAGACAGTAACAGGACAAACATTGTATGATTCCACTTATGTGACGTGTCTAAAGTGTCAAATTCACAGAAGCAGAAAGTAGAACGGTGGTTTCCAGGGGCTGGGGATAGGGGAATGGAGAGCTGTTGTTCAATGGGAACAGAGGTTCAGTCATGCCAGATGAAAACGTTCTAGAGATCTGCTGTACAACAATATGCACATAGTTAACAATACTCTATTATACCCTTCCAAATGGAAGAGGATTTCACATTATGTAATTTTTTACCATAATTTTTTAAAAGAATGCACTAATGTAGCTAAGACCATTTTTATTTAAAAAAAAAAAAGGGATATGTTGCTATATTAACAGTTAAAAATTTTATAAAGTTTATCTAATTAAAGCCATGTGGTGTTAATGCTAGAATACAGAAAGGTCAAAGGGGGAAAAAAGACTAAATCCTAAAAGCCCAAATATGTATATGTGTTATCCACAATCAGTGAGAAAAAAATGGATTATCTAATGAATGGAGATGAGACGATGGGCTTGCCATTGAGGAAAAAATAAGAGTCCAACCTTATATCATGTACTGAAATAAATGTAAGATAGGTAAGAGATATACATTTAGTTTACGACAGGTAAAAATTTTAGACTGGGCAGAATACTAAAAACAGAGAGTTTTTTCTAACTCACACTAACCCTAAGTCTTCAATGATATCTAGAGTCATATAGAATTTCCAAACACCAGATTCTAGAGGTATACAGAAATGCACAAACTAATGGCAAATATAAGTATGCTGTTTTTCATTTGTACTAATACTGTTTTTTCTTATAGTTATAAATGCAAATGAAAACTGATGGTTCAGAATAGTATATTATTACAGGAATAGCAGAGGACTTTAGAGTCTTAAGATCTGACAGAAATCCAGCTTTGTAAACACAAATGGCAAAACGAATTATGCTTCGATATTAAAAATCCACTAAGAATAACATTTTCAAAGAATATATATTGACATGGGAAAAGTTTCATTCATCCAGCCGGTCAATAAATACTGTGTTGGGCCATGGACTATGTGCTAAAGATTTTTTAAATGAGCAAGGAAGCCATGATCTTTGCTATCAAGAATCTTAAAGTTTAGTGAGAAAGGCAAACAAGGATTACAGTTATAATATACTTGACAGAAAAGGTACAAAGGAAAATATCTAAGTACCTAGCCGGGGAACCTGTCTAGTCTATAAGAGTCAGAGGTTTTGTAGGAAAAATAACATTTTAAGTTCAGATCTGAAAAGATACATAGGAATTAGCCCAACTTAGTGGTTATGGATTATGGGTGGACATATCAACAAACTGAAAGCTCAGTATTAATTATCAAGGGAGAAAAGCCCCTGGATCAATGGTGGGGAGGGGAGGGTGTACAGGGAGGGGAGGGTATGCGGGGAGGGGTGGAGCTCGGGGACCCATACCCAGAACGGTATATATACTAAAGGCCTAATAACATCTGTACAGAATAAGATTGGAAGTACACAAAAGAAAATATTATCAATGCTTAACTCTTTTCTATATTTCTTAATCAATCATACATTACCATTTACTCTACTGATCAAAAGGGTTATTAAAATAATACTTTACCATTGTGCTTTTATTAAAATTTTAGACAAGACTGTTAAAACTTAATGTATTCATTTGGCAAATAAGGCTAATAAGATTTAACTTCACAAAGCTGCTGATTAGGATCAAATATAACATGTACAGGATAACGGTTTTGTGACTGTGGTCGCTGGACCTAACTCAGTATCAGAGTGAGCGGATACAGAATTGGGAAGTAGTTGTAAAAACTGATAGATCAGGAGGAGAAAAACGTGGACCCGATGAAGTTAATGAGTTGGTTACTACAGTGTTGTCACTACCCACTTTAGCAATAATGACAGTCAATGTTAATTAATCCTCCCTCCCGCTCCTTAGACCCAATCTCAGAATCCTTAGCAACCTAGTGCTCCAGGCAGCCACTTGCAATTCATTTAGAATGGCATGTTAATTGCAATCTTTTGCTACCGCTAGCCTCAGAATTGCAAGTATGAATACAATCATACGATTTTTTAAAAAAGGTAGTTTGGCTAAAACATGTCTCTCTTTTTTGAGACGGAGTCTGGCTCTGTCGCCCGGGCTGGAGTGCAGTGGTGCGATCTCGGCTCACTACAAGCTCCATCTCCCGGGTTCACGCCATTCTCCTGCCTCTGCCTCCTGAGTAGCTGGGGCTACAGGCGCCCGCCACCATGCCCAGCTGATTTGTTTTGTATTTTTTTAGTAGAGACGGGGTTTCACCGTGTTAGCCAGGATGGTCTTGATCTCCTGACCTCATGATCCACCCGCCTTGACCTCCCAGAGTGCTGGGATTACAGGCGTGAGCCACCGTGCCAGGCCAAAAATGTCTTTTTAAATGTATATTTTAACATTTAAATGTTCTGTTTCTCTGAAAGTATATCTTCTAGCATGCCCAGAGGTTCTGATGTATTAAATATTATTTTGTAAGCCACCGTTATTCATGTATTATGCCAGAACCAAGAATTTAGAGACTATAGCATTTAAAAAATGTATTTACATATATTTACAAATAATAAAGTCAGACACAAATACATTAGATGGAGTGTTGCTTTTTCACAAAATGAAAACAAATGAATTTCTTACCTTTCCTCTGGAGTATCTACATGAAATGTTCTCTCTATAACAGTGGTCCACTGGAGACATCTGATTATAAATGTGTTTGGCTTTGGTCGTTCTGTTTTCATTAATTGGCATTCTAAGAATAAAATAAAATGTTTCTTTAAATATGGATATATTTAAACCAAGAAGTAAATACTTGAGAACTACAGAGTTCTATTTTAAACAAAACCCAGTGTGAACTCACAGCTTTCTATGGATCTCCACTCAGTATTATTCACAACCTGACGTTAGTCTTCCTTTCCAATCCTTCACCCATTCTGGCCACATTAACCACCTCAACTGGACTATGTAATTTTCCCCAAACACATCTTACCCTTTCCTCTATTTATGCCTTTGCTCCAGCTGTTCTTGTTATCTGAAATACCTCCCCCACTTATTTTATCTCTATCCATATGCATCACCTGCAGTCACAATAATTCTGATCCTTGAAGGTCCAGATCAAACATTATTCCTTTCATGAAACCTTCCATAACACCTGGCCCTAGATTGGCCATTTCATCCTCTCAATTCTCATTACTTATTACCATATCCCTCATTTGTCACTTACCATAGACTATCTTACAGTATTACTTATCATTTTAAGAAAATTACAAATATCACTTATCCTTACCTAGATTATAAGCTCTTTGACAATATAAACTGCCTGCAACTCTTAGTATCCACAGCCCCGAGAGCTAGTCAGTCTGAATGTGATTAAATTCTGTTAGTGAATAACTAGGAAGATGTCAAAGAACATGAGCCTAAAAGTATGGATTCTGACACTGGTGTGCCTGGATTCAATTATATTTTCATACCATTAACTATACAAACTTGGACAAATTAATTTAACTCTCTAGTCTTCAACAGCTAAGTGGGAAACAGTATCTACATCATAGAATTGACGTAGGAATTAATAATAAACTCATGTAATATTAGCATAATATGAGACCTGTAAGCTTTCGACAAACATTTGGCATATATTTGGCATATTATTTGGCATATATCTGAGCTGGGTTTTAAAGGATAAGTGGTATTGGACACCAAGAAAAAAATAGGGTAGAGTTGTCTGCTGACTCTGCTCTTTTCAAAGAAATTAATTTATCTCCATTGAAAACTTCAAGTCTTTTCTCAGTGCTTATCTGCTGTGTCCTATCTCCATCATTAGCAACTATCAACCACCATTTCTGTCTTTACAGTTCCAATTCATTACTCAGATTAGCTGTGGTTTTTTCTTTTTCTTTCTTTTTTTTTGAGACAGAGTCTCGCTCTGTCACCCAGGTTGGAATGCAGTGGCGCAATCTCGGCTCACTGCAACCTCCGCCTGCTGGGTTCAAGTGATTGTCATGCCTCAGCCATCCAAGTAGCTGTGATTACAGGCATGCACCACCACATCCAGCTAATTTTTCTAATTTTACTAGAGACGGGGTTTCACCATGTTGGCCAGGCTGATCTCGAACTCCTGACCTCCAGTGATCCACCCGCCTCGGCCCCCCCAAGTGCTGGGATTACAGGCTTGACCCACCATGCCCAGTCCCAGATTAGCTCTTTACTGGCCCTTTACACTGAGAGAGATCATTCACCCAAAGGTCTCTGCTTAGTTTTCTTTTCTTTTCTAACAGTTTTCATGTTTTCAGTAATCATCTCTCAGTTTACCAATATCAAAATCCAAACTTTTTTCACCATGGAGTTCTACTTTAACACACACATGTCTAAATACGTAGTGAATATTTCTACCTGGTTGAATTACTGGACCACCCCTGAAACCAAACTCAGTATTTTCCCCCTAAAATGCATTTCTCCTCCCGGTTTGCATAATTTTTCCATCACCTAGGCTGAAAGATAAAGTGATCTTCCTTTTTTATACTATTTGTCATTACAGATGCTCCTTGACTTATGACTGTGTTAAATCCCAATAAATCCACTGAAAGTCAAAAATACTGTGAGGAAAAATGCATTTAATACACCTAGACTACCCAAGATCATAGGTTAGCCTAACCTACTTTAAACACGCTCAGAACACTCACATTAGCCTAGAGCTAGACAAAATCATCTAACACAAAGCCTATTTTGTAGTACAGTATTGAATACTACACATAGATGGATGTTTTGTCGACATGATGAGATGTGAAAACACAAAAAATAAGAGCATCCAGAAAAATGCTGGCAACACAGTACACTGTAGAGTATCTACTGTGCATGTTGTGATCCCGTGGCTGACTGCGAGCTATGATTTGCTGCTGCTGCCCAGCATCACTAGGGAGTATCACACAGCAAATTACTAGCCCAGGAAAAGACAAAAATACAAAATTTGAAATACAGTTTCCACTGAGTGTGTATTGCTGTCAGGAGCATGGTAAAGTAAAAGACATCATTACACTGAACTACTGTAAGTGGGAGACCATTCATAACCGGTTTTCCACTGCTGTAATTCTAGTTCAGATTCTCCGTGCCCAATGCCTAAACCTCCCAGCTGCCCAAAGACCGGATTCTTCCTGTTTAGAGATGCTGAGTGACTACAGAAGTTAAAGACAGAAACTGTGCTCTGGGAGACATCTGAACATGTCCGAACGTGAACTCTTGATCTCTCTCATCCCTGCTCCTCCTTCTGCCAACCTCTACTATGGCTTTCTCTAGCTCACACGACACCTCCATCCTTTCAATTGCCCAAGCTGAAAACCCAAGTATCCCCTTCAAGTCCTCTCTTCTCTGACATCACATTCACTCCTGCAAATCCTGGTGCTTCTACTTTAAAAACATAACCTGCTTCTGATAACTTCTCACCACCTCCACTACCTCAGACTAAGCCATCACTGTCTCTCACCTGATGATTCCAAAAACCTTAGAATAGCTTTCCCCTGCCCCTCACTGCAGTCTGTTCTCAATACAGCAGCCAGAAATCTTCTTAAAATGAAGATCTGCAAAAAAGTTCTGCAGTGTTTCAGTTCAGTAAGAATAGAAGAGTAGGCCTTTAAGTGATCAGCAGGTGTCCTACGTGATCTGACCCTCCCACCGACCCTACTCAAGTTTCTGACCTACTTCCCTAGTACTCTCTTTCAGGCTGCTCTGCCAGCCACCCTGGCTTCCCTGCATTTCCTCAACAATGCACTACACTCTTTCTGCTTTAGAACTTTTTGCCCTTTGCCTAGCACTCTTCCCACCCCACACATCCACACAGCTGCCTACCTTAAACATCCTATTTAATACTGCAATCTGCACCCCTTACCTAGGACTCTCCCTCCATCTTCTCTTACCTGCTCTATTTTTTATTTTCCAAAGCATGTTACTATTTTCTAACATTTGATATGAAGTTTTTTAGTATCTTTTTTGCTTACTGTCTTTTCAACTAGATTGTAAGCTCCATTCACATATTCTTAGCACTTGGAACTATGCCAGACACACAGTACTCAATAAATATTTTCCAAATGAATGAATTCTGGTAGTAATAATCCAACAAAGAAGGTAATGTTGATGCTACCAAATGATAATTTCTAAAGCAATGTTCCTACAGAAGCAAGAAGGGATTAAATTTACTAGACAAGTAAAGGGGTAGCTCTAATCAGGAGTATAAATAGTTTAGTAATGAAATAAGAGAGAAGATATAAGGGCCCAAAAGCAATTAGGAGTACAGAAGCAAGTAAAAGCTGGTAGAAATTATTTTCTCACTGCTTCTGTTTTGTTTTTTTTTTCAATGAATTAGGATATAAAGCCATCGGGAATAGGCTGCAAAAGGATTCATCGGGCTTTGAAGAAAAAAAGATATGAAATAGCACTCTGGGAAAACGAAAGTACAGACAGACTAGGGAAATCTACCATGACGGCCAAGAAGGATGAAGGACCAACCTGAATTTAATAATGAAGAATTTAAAGTAGTAACAGAGATCATGGTTGTGTATTTTCTCTCAAATATATTCAGCTGCATGTGTACAGGTGAGGAACACAGAGTAATGAATTTAAGCAAGGCTGTATTTTAACCAAGTAAGTTTGTCAAAGCAAGAAAACAGAAAAGAATTGAGAATCCAAGGCAAGGGAGCAAGGCAAGGGAGTAATTACAATAATCAACTAAGAAATTTAAAAAGGGTATGGAGGAAAGTGAGAACCTGCGGATGTGCAAAATAATGAAAAGGTGGTAGAATCAACAGGTCACAAAATCTATTATATCACAATTCAACTCTGTATAGCAGCATTACATACTTTTTGAAATATAAAAGTTAAAAAATACAAAATATAGTATTCCATAAAAAATAAGCAAAAACAGTGTTCATTTGAAAGATGTAAGTTTTAAAATACCAAAGACATTATACTAATTTGTACTAATAAAGAGCCAACCAATTCCTATGACTGACTCTGCCCATCAGTCTGATTCTCTTTGAAGCCAACTGTTACTCCCCATATCCTTCTTTTCAAAAGTTCTATTAAATTTCCAGCCAGTAGTTCACGAGCTAACTTACTTAAAAGTTAGGAATTGTGTGCACAGTTCTTCTTATAGCGTGTAGGACAGTGATAGGACATAGGAGTATATAATAAATACTTGATGACTGGGCAACTGATTGGCTTTAAATGTAAAGAATGGAGGACAGACACTTAAATGAGGGGCGTGCCCAAGAGAAATACTCAAGAATGAACTATGGGGTACAGAGAAATACAGCACAGAAGCAAAGAAAGAATGCCCAGTCTGAGGTTCACTATTTCAGTTTTACTTCAGATTCCCATTATGGTGATATAAGGTAATTAAGATAATGGACTTTGCAATCAGAATAAGAAATTCAAATCCAGGCTCTAACACAATCAGCGGTGTGATCCTTTTGAAAGTACTTTACATCTAAGCCCTCAAGTTCATCATCTTTAAAAGCACTATCATGAATTAAAAGCACATTTTCAACACCATATCTAAATGAAGTTTAAATGCTATAATTTAAAGAACTTCTCAACACCAGACTTTTAGGAGCTAAAGTGCCGTTATCAGATTCCAAATATCAATTACCATAATTTATAAGGCTGCTGAAAACAATAAAAGACATTACTTTAACTACCATTCTCAAGCAGATCACTGAAAAGGAATGGCTTAGAAAAGAATAAAATTCTTGTATTTATGTATGC